TGCACGCTATCCTTCAGGAGGTGAGGGACTGCCGGCAGCCCACAGCGCTTGCTCTTTTTCATTGCAATCTTCTAGCGGAGAAAACAGTGTCGTATACCCCAGCGGTCTAAGGCTCTGAGTGTCCAAGACTTCCAAGGCTCTCCCCCCAGCTTTCCGCGAGCCATGGACGCCTTTCTGGCGCGTGCGTTGCTCAGCCTAACAGTTCTATCGCCCGCGCTGGCCGGCAATGCCTCGGCCTGCGAGGACGTCAACAACTGGCTGGGCACCCGTCCCATGGCCTACTCATGCAGTGGCGCTGGATGCCCAGCCGGGGACTCGGCAGACGGCCATGTCAAGATCGAAGATGGCGACACCGATTGCAACATCCTCGTGAAGAGCGGCCCAGCTACTGCCTCCGACGCCACCATTGAGGCATCAGCCCAGGCGCTCTGCACGGCCAACGGCGGTGGGAACGTGACGCCGGCATACGATTGCGACATGCGGGGGGGCGTCTACCCAGCGGCAAGCTCGCCAGCTGAGTGCGGCGATGCCTATACGAAGGCGGCGTCGGACAGCCTCGCACAAATGTGCTGCTCCAATGAGAAATCCGTGTGCCATGGCGAGGGAGGTGGAGGTGGAGCGGGGTGCGCGACAGTCGCAGATACGACCAACATCTTGTCGATGTACTCAGATGACAGCTGCTCAACAGCTATTGATGGGGTGGATCCTTATCCTGTGACGACTGGCTGCTTCTTGCTTCCCGGGGACACTGCTTTTGCCATGAAGTTGGAGTGCGATGGGCAGAATGTGTTGCTGGCAGGCCACTTTGGAAAGTGCCATTGCGACGACGACCCGAACGTTATGTACACCATTGGGGGGAGCGCCGACACGTGCATGAGCTTGAGCATGTCCGGATTGACGGGCGACATGTCCGTGTTCATGACCTTCACGACCAACCCGTGTGCTGGCGGAACTTCGTCAGGGGCTTTTGGCCAAGCCCCTCTATCCTTGGTGGCCCTTGCGGTCACCGCAGGTGTGTCTATGCTCGTCGCCGCCATGCTGAACTGAGCATTGCGCCATGCCCACAGGCTGAAGCCGAGTGAAGAGAGCCCATAGCTACTCGCAGTGCCGAG